AGTGCAATTGAAAAGTTCGGCTTCCCTCGGCCACACTCGGTCTTTAGCCCCGCCTCTCGTCCCGCCCTTGCTCCCAGCACCGACGTTGATTGGCGAGCGGCAGGCTATAAAAGCTTGAAGGGAGGGCGGGGAGGCGTCTCAGGCACCTGCGCGGGTTGAGGATATTGCGGGTGAAGCAGAGGCGAGCAGAGACGCCTTCATCCAGCCGCCTGCCCTCCTTTTCCAACCTCCTGCATCATTGCCTTCATCCTAGGCGACGTGGACGTGACAGGGAAGGTAACATGTCACTTTGTCCAGAAGGCAGTTTGCGGGCTCGAGGGAGCCACACCTTTGCGTCTGCTGCCCCACCGGCTGAGAATTCCCGGCTCAGCACTGGCTGGGGCCTCACCTGGGGGGACCTCCGGACCCCCCTGCCTTCTGTTGGCGGAGCCGGTCCCGTGGGTTTACGATTAAGGAATGCATGAGGCCAGACCTGGTTGAGCGTCTCGGCCTTCAGAAGGTTCCCACCTTAGGGCCTGAATACCCTCACCTGTACCTGGTAACCTGGAAGGTGCGCCCAAGTAGGAATTGAATGGATGGATGGATGGATGGATGGATGGATGGATGGATGGATGGATGGATGGATGGAACTTGCGATGGGGGGCAGGCCTGGTTTTGTGCCCTTGCACGGCCTGCTGCATTGGAAAGAGCATTCACTGGCCCAGAGCCTTGGATTCCAGCTCTGGCTGTCCCATTCGCTGCCGCTGAGCAAGTTCCTCCCACCCTCTGGGCCCCGATTTCCTCCCGTGTAAAAGGAAAGGGTGGGACAGTGTGATGAATGCATATTGAACACCAGTGATGAGCCGGACGTTGTGATAAGTATGGGGGGTAAAGGTGAGCCACAGCCCTGCTCCCCAAACTTACTGTATGGGGGAGGATGATACTGAACAACCTGTCATAAACACGTAATTACACATCTACTATTAAGAGATGGTAAGACAGAGAACTTTCAGAAGAGGATTTTATACAGCCTGGGTGGGCTTCCTAAGGCTTGACAGAATTAACTGGGGTAGGTAGTCACTGGCCCTGGCGAGAGCGGGGAATAGCAAATACAAAGATATAGGAGGTGAAACACACACTTTTTCCCCCTTTTAATTGGATGTGATAATAACCCTCAAAGTATACAAGCCAGAGGAGTGGAAGCTTTAGTGAGTTAAATTGAGTAGAAGTTGGAGGGTTCTTTGGAAGCCCATAACTATTTTGAGCAATCTTGTGAAAATAAGGGATGGCCCCTGACCCTGTGTCCTCATAGGAGTGTTCCGGAAGGTTGTTGAATCAGACCTGAACAGTCCAGGTTTCATGGTGCTGTGTAGAATCTGTGCTTTGACTTTGAGAGACATCGGGCTGCTTCAGAAGAACAAAAACAACAACAACGCTCTCTTGAAAGTGGCCCACGTCTACCTCAAGCTGAATTATCCAGGCTGGTTTGCACAGATAAGAAGATGGAGAGGTGGCTTGTACAGTGACAGAAGAAAAAAAAAAATCAAGGGCTCATCACTGTACCTTATAAAAGCACATGTGTGGAGGGGACACTGTGTCGCAGTAGAAGAAATACCAGAGACCACTGAGGTGGTGAGCCTGGCTTTGCCTTAACCTTAGCTGCGCGAACCTGGCAGGCACTCAAACTCTCTGAGCCAACAGTCTGATAGATGAACAGGGCGAATGAAGTTCTCCTGATGAGGTCAAGTTCAGAATGGGAACACAGGTGAAAGTTATTTCTAAACTACAAAGCTCGACCCAACCAAACCAGGAACCGCCTGGCTCGCGTTGTTCCCTCAGAATTTTACTGTAGATCCTCCTTCAGATTATGGGGAGAGAGGATTTGGCAGCTTTTATTTGCATTTGTAGCGATATACCAAGTTGTTCTGTTGCATACGTATTCTGAATTCTTTCATTTTAATTAGAGCGTTTCTCTTTTCCAAAAGGTGGTTTTAGAATTTCATGTGTGGTTCTCTCATCATTTTTAGAAGAAAGAAGAAAAAACAAAACAAAACAAAACAGGGTAAAACAGTTGACAGGAGGTTTGGATTTTTTTTTTTTTATGCCATTGTGTAACACATCCAGTGACAATATGGATTTTTGTAAAAACTGTTGTTCTTAGATGGTTTGTCGGGAAGCAAGTCTGTTCCTAAAATTCTCTTACCCCTAATCCTGGCCCCCTTGCTAATCCCAGCCATGGACCTGGATGTGCTTTCAGTGGTCACAGGAGAGTTGTGAACAGAACCTGAGAAACAATGGAGCTTTTTTTTTTTTTTAACATTTATTTATTTTTGAGACAGAGAGAGACAGAGCATGAATGGGGGAGGGTCAGAGAGAGGGAGACACAGAATCTGAAACAGGCTTCAGGCTCTGAGCTGTCAGCACAGAGCCTGACGCGGGGCTGGAACTCACCAACCGTGAAATCACGGCCTGAGCCGAAGTCCGCCGCTTAACCCACTGAGTCACCCAGGCGCCCCAACCATGGAGTTTTTTAAACAAAGTAGCGAGTATGCTTGGTGAACAATCAGAAGTGGGAAACCAGTTATGAGAAACCAAAGCTGCTGCCTGATTGCAAAGGACTGGCAGGAGGGGGTTTGAAGAGCGCAAGGCTTAGGCTTGCTGGACCTGGGGATTCTGAGACCCAGGGTTCCCAGCTGTGTGTTCTTTGTACCTTATGCAGGAGGGAAATAGTGTCAGCATACGGGCAAGCATTGATGGGCATGTTCCCTTACTCTGTTCATTCCCCAATATAAACTAGAGACTGTTCCCATTTTGCCAAGAAGAAATTCAGGGTCAGGGGAACTAAAAGGGAAGTGGAATTGGGCCGACTTTTTAATTCAATATCAAGTGAATAAAAAGATAGCATTTCCACAGGGCTATGTGAGTCTCCTAGCTTGATCATCTTTGGGGAAGGTTTTAGCTCTATTTAGATTTTTACTACCTTAAAAGATTTCTTTTCAAAAGCTGGGCCCACCCATGAGGCCATGTTAACACTTGAGTCTTGGGGTGCCTGGGTGGCTCAGTCGGTTAGGCGTCCAGCTCTTGGTTTTGGCTCAGGCCGAGTCAGGCTCTGTGCTGACTGTGGAGTCTGCTTGGGATTCTGTCTCTCTCTCTCAAATAAATAAACGTTTAAAAAAAAATTACTATAGTGAACATTTGTGATTGTGCTGTTTGGTTCAGATAACTGAACTTGATGTTTATAATATCACGATTTACCACTTTTCTGTTCTAGGTGTTTTCCTTTATCTTCTTAAGTGTTCTCTTTAACCCATTGAAAATATTTCCTTGGCTACATGAAGTGTCGGTATTCCCTCCTGACACCTGAGTGCTCACCAAAGGCAAGGAATTCCTATTCTCTCAGAACTCTCCAGAACCCAGTGAAGTAGACACTATCATTACAGCTGAGGAAACTGATGCAGGAGGGGAGAAAGGAGTGACAGCCTGGGGAGAGATGCAAAGAGTAGGCTTTGCAGTCGGGGCCTGGTTTGAATCCTTCCACCCACTTACTCGTCTTTACCTCCCGCTAACCTCCGGCTTCCACTTGACCCATCTGTGACTTGGGGCTTTCCCTTGGGATCGTCATGCAGAATGCCATGACGTGATGACGTGCCTGAGATCAGTGCGGCCTTGGCTGTTGGCTGACAGATGAGGCTAGGGGGGAGAACTAGGCACCGAACGTAGATGTCGATCAGTTTTCATTTAAGCTCTGTGCCCAAGGTGGGGTTTGAACTCATGACCCCCAAAACAAGAGTTGCACGCTCCACCTGAGCTGGCAGGAGCCCCACCATCATTTTTGTTTTAGGACTTATTCCTCACTGGTCTGCAAATGACTCATTTCTAATACATGAAAACTCGCAAAAGTTGAATGACATCTATGTGCTACTGTTCTGACGGTCCTAAAGTGAGCGTCCCTGCCTGATCTCTTGTAGATGTCCCAGCTTTTATTTTGGACCTTTAGGAAGAGGGTGGGGTGTTATACGCAGTTTGCTGGGATTTGTTTTCAACCCAACCTCATACCATTAAGGATTTCTCTATATCCATAGTTCATTTTCAAAGCTAACTTAGGATCATTTATTTTCTAGTTGATGGACCTTTTGAAGGAGTGTTGCCATTTTAAAGTACTGCTTTGAACACTTTCAAGTACTGCTCTGATTCCCATTGCGTATTTTCTCTCAGGTGATCCCTGGAAGCGGAGTTGTGGGTTGTAGGTGGTGTTTTACAAGGCACACCAGCCATTTACCCAAGTGGTTGTAAAACTGACACACGTGGTCTCATACGATGGCGTGAGGACAGTCAGGGATTTAAGTCCAGCTTTTCGTCAACTCCCGATCTCATCAGGTGTTAAATGGAGACAAAAAAGGGCCACGATGTTCCATGTGCCTGGCACTTAATAGATGCTCTGAAGACAAAATCAGGTTTCCTAAACCCAAGTCTTCGGGTCCCCCGGTATCTTGACGTGAACCAGTCTCCACACCAGTGTTCAGCCACCCTTGGCGGTCCCCCAAACCTGTTAGTCAAACACTGGTTTGAATTTTGGTTTTAGCCTCTTTGTGTAAATACGTGGGGACTCAAACCTGAATTCTTCCCACTCCTTCAGTACTACTGAACTAAACCCAAAGTTTTAATAGTACTCTGGCTCAGCACAGCACAAATATTTGTAGCCAGGAATATATTTGGGATTTTCAAGAGGTCTTGATTACACCATCAGTGACTCTTCTTCCCATCAAGGGGACAAACCCTGTAATCATGAACTAACACATGTGGCCCCGACAAGGCATCTGCTCTGATCTTGTCTTCTCCCACCTCCCCACACAGTTCTCGGTGCAACAATACTAGATGCATTTTTGGTACAGCATCCAGCTTGTGTGCTATTTCCCACCACGAGATGCTAGCAGGGGTAAACACCCAGCTGGTGTCATACCAGAAGGCTGATCATCCTGACAAAGCACATCCCCAAACAACTGGCAGAACCAACAGCAACGAAGAGTTCAGCTTTTTATTGAACAGATTACGGAAGAGATTTAGTCAAAAAGACCAAAGCCCATGTCATCATCAGACTCCTCTGATTCTTCTTTCTTTGCTTCCACTTTCTTCTCCTCAGCTAAAAAACAAAAACAGTCGATCACACACCTCAATATTTTACACTCCAAAGAGCCCCAGGCCCTTCAGCTTACATGGACAAAAATACCCTAGACTTCCTCCCAACTATTGCCCTGGGTTTAGGATTTCTATACATCACCGACTCTTAGCAAACTAAAAAGTATCATAGGGGGGGCACCTGGGTGACTCAGTTGTGGTTGAGCCTCTGACTTCAGCTCAGGTCATGATCTCGTGGTCTGGGAGTTCGAGCCCCACATGGGGCTCTGTGCTGACACTCAGAGCCTGGAGCCTGCTTCGGATTCTGTGTCTCCCTCCCTCTGCGCCTCCCCTCCCACTCATGTTCTGTCTCTCTCTCTCTCTCAAAAATAAACATTAAAAAAAAATTTTTTTTTTAAGTATTGTAGGCAAGATAGCTCTTCATCTCCACACTCCTCCCTCCCATACCCCCCCCCCCAAAAAAAAGTTTTCTACCTGGGGCAGCAGTGGTGGAAGGAGCAGGACCGCCTGCTGGTGCAGCACCAGCTGCTGGAGCGGGTCCACCAGCTCCTACATTGCAGATGAGGCTCCCGATGTTGACGTTGGCCAGGGCCTGTAACACAGTACACATATAGGTGACACTCAGTTCTGTCCTTTTGTTATAGTACCTACCCCACAAAAGGTACCCCATTTCAACTTACAGCAGTAATTTCCCAACACTGTATTGCTCTTCCTTTCTCCTTTGCTGCAGTCTGACAGTGACATTTTGTCTGCCACTGAGATTCCCTAAGACTTACTTTAGATAGGGCCACGCATATTAAAAATTAGTCACAAAAAAATGACTCAAGCTTTGAACGTTACAATTGCAATGCAGTACCTTAAGTAGCAAGATAGAATAACTGAATCCCTTCAATAGATGAGAAAACTGGTCCCAAAATGCTGGCTTAAGTTGTTGGCAAAAAACGCAAGCTTCCTTAAACACTCAAAGCAGGATTCTTTCCATAGTTGCAGGTCTCCTCTCAACACTGATTTCAGTTTTTTCAGACTGCTAGTCCAGGGACTTTTTATTAAAGAGGAGTACCTTTCTTAAAAGCCTAATGCTTTCAATCCTTCAAAACTCTTTGGAGGACATAACCTGAAGAGACAGAAGCTAATAGCCTCTTGCCAGAGATTAAGTAACATATACAACGGAAGGTAGCCAGTGCCAAGTTCCTGGGGGTAGGAATCCTGTCTTCATCAGTCTTTTAATATCCTAACAAACAGTAAATGGTCAATGAAAGGCCACCAAGCCCAATTTCCACGAAACCAGATCATGCTGGAAGGATTTGCTTGAACCAGTGTGGGTGGTATTATCTCCTGAGTGACCCTTTTAAGCAGTCATCTGGCTGGTATCTCGTGTAGTTTTTGGTCATGGTTTCAGAACAGAAGGAAAGAGAAACCAGACTGAGATCAAGAAAGAAAAGGCAAGACAAACTTTAATTAGACACTAGATGTAGAACTATGAAGAAGTTGTCACTTGGAACACGGCATCTTCCAGCATTTTTTCATGTCCTATGAACACGTGAGCTGTGGAAGGTAATCAGTTCACCTTCCACAAGTCTGCTTCTCGAAGTCACTTTGAGGCCATCACCTTACCTTTGCAAACAAGCCCGGCCAGAAAGGCTCAACATTTACACCCGCTGCTTTAATGAGGGCGTTGATCTTATCCTCCTAAAAAAAGTAAAACAGAAAAATCCATCAGGAAGTGTAACTTTCCTATAGGTCTCCAAAATACTACGATTGAAAGTAAATCACTCAAAACGTGCGTACAAAACCGTGCGTAACCACTTTAAATATTCCATCCGTATTTCTTTTTTTTTTTTTTAATTTTTTTTTTTCAACGTTTATTTATTTTTGGGACAGAGAGAGACAGAGCATGAACAGGGGAGGGGCAGAGAGAGGGAGACACAGAATCGGAAACAGGCTCCAGGCTCTGAGCCATCAGCCCAGAGCCTGACGCGGGGCTCGAACTCACGGACCGCGAGATCGTGACCTGGCTGAAGCCGGACGCTTAACCGACTGCGCCACCCAGGCGCCCCTCCATCCGTATTTCATGTATGCTTATCTAAACCCATCATGTCTAACACAAGTCTTACACTCTTAAGATTATCACGAGCAAAAGAAATGCATCCTGCTCCCGTGTGCCAGTCACCTGGCTGCCATTTCACAGGCCGGGACCTGCCTAAGTCACGCAGCTATTTTAAGTTACGAGTCAGGCCGCGGGGTGGAGCAAGCTTATGTGCTGGCCCAACAAGGCCTACTAAGAGGACCACAGGAATTCAAGGCCATCCCACCAAACAGGGATAAAGTGCCCTC